GGTGAATTCGATTTTTGACGTCGGGTTTCAGTATTTATAATAAACAATACACTCATCTCAATAAGAAGAATCGAAAAATGAGTTCTTTTTTAAACGCAGTAGTTATAAATTTATATCATTGGAAATTTACAAACTTCACTTTGTTATTATCTATTTAATTGCTTTCAGTGCTATGGCTCTTCAAAAGAAATTATATTTCAAAGATGTTTATTACTCAAATTCTGGTCAAAGTAACTAGAATAATCAGTATTACAGATTCTTGAAAATAATAAAATTTCATGTGATTTAGAATCAATCCTAAAGCTTAAAAAGCCTAGTTTTAAGAAATCAATAAAACGTTCGAAATGAGATTACTTTTAATGTAGTAATATCATACTGTCACAGATATACATCTACTATCTTCTATGACCAGCTAGTTATTTGTCGAAGGATATCGATTCTAAGATTTAATCAGATAGGACATGTGATTATATGACATAAATCTATATAATTTACTTGATAACTGATTTAATTTCATAGTTGAAGTTACCTAAACGAGTTAAACAGAAAATGAAGCAACAATAACTAGCTTATATTAATTATTACTACAACGTTTCAATTATCACATATCATGAAAAATTCTGCACTTGTATTTAGTGCTATTATAACAGACAAATACTAAATTAATAATATAAAATGACATTAGTTCAATCATCATTAATCTATGAGTGGGTTAAAACAAAGAAGACAATTTTTTAGCATAAAAAAATAAAATCTACTATCTTTACAGAAGCTATGACTATTGTGCAAATCACCTGTTTATTATAGTCCGTTATAAACATTGAAAAACAGAACAAAATATTTAGAAAATCTTCAAGAGTTTTTCTTTATTTGAATGTAAAACGAAACATTGTTACCAATGAAATAATGCGGAAAACAAAAGTGATATTTAGAAATTTCACTGGTTGAATCATGAGTCATTTGAAGCTAGACCACCATGGAAAACCTGGAAGCATTGAACGGCCGTTTCGTTCCAGTATGGGACTCCTCAGTAGTGCGCATCAACGATCCCGCACCTCACGAGATTCGAACCCAGGACCTATCAGTCTCGCGTCAGGCGCTTAACCAACTAAAAAGAAATCTCCACAAAATCCATTCTGATAAAAGTGATATTCTTAATTGACATAATAAATCGAAAGAGTATATACATATATTTCTGGACTGCATTATAATTACATGTTGATTTGTGGATTTAGTAAAAGATAAAACATTATCACATGGGAGAAAGTTTGCTAATATATAATGGTAAAGATAATATAATATCTTACTATAAAAATAATTATTGACCTAATCTAATCAAGCATTTATTTAATAGTGAAACATAAATTTCTATATTGTAGGTTAAATTTATCATGAATTCTAATAGAGATAGATTTTTATATTCGATAATGAAAAATAGAATAAACATATAACTAAGAAATTCGTAGTTTTTCCATTATGAAGTAAGTTTTAAATATTTGTACATTAAAACTAGGACAGTTTGATTGAACTAAGTAAAATGAATTTTATATGTTGATATGTAGTTTTTATGACGTGTACTATCTAGTTATAATCTGTTATCTAACAATTATCAGGATAATTCTTATTTAGAAATGGATTAATTAGTGAATTCTATGAAATATATGACTATTTCACAATTGATTGATCACTGAGTGGCGATCAATGTCATGCACTAATAAGGACTAGACACGAATGACATTGATCGCCACCCAATGATCAGTCAATTGTGATTACATCACAGTCCTACGGGAGGTCGGTCGCGGCCCGGATAGCTCAGTGGTAACGTCTCTGACTGTGAAGCTGGGTGACACGAGATCGAATCCGCCAGGGAGCACCAGTTCCCATAAGATTACAGGTACGCCTTGCTGACGAGTGCCAAGTAGCACGAAACCAGGGTTTCCTGTCGACTACCTCCAACTACCATCTAATATGAGTATTTGCTTTTGTGTCTAATTTCGAAACGAATTTGTAGGTAGTCGTTTATTATTATACTCAATTAGTTCTTAAACTCGATACCTTTGCAGATGTACAATTAAGAGTATTTATTTCATAACAGTGTAAAATTATCTTTTAAATCAATTTATTTATTTATGAAATAACGATATGTTTGATAAAATTTGCATTTAGTTATCAGTATGAACTAGGAAAAATGTAAAAAGGTATCTGAATCCTCAGGGAACTGACAAGTTATTTGATTTAAACTTGAGAAACTGCTAAAATCAATGACTACTCACGTAGAGGGATTCAAGATCTTTAATTCTTGAGAACGATACGATATCCTTAAATTGCCGATCTTAAATTCATTAGTCCCACTTTTCACCTTTATTCAGTGAACGATATCATGTCACTATTATATAGTGTTGTCTATGTTATATTTCTCAATTTCAAAGTGTCTGTTCTCTTTGTGCTCATTAGCTGCTATTATTCCGTGTAAACTAAATTTAAATTGAATAAATTTCATGAGTGGCTTATTTAAATAATTTGAAAGTCTTGTGATAATGAGGCTAATAAATCATTCTACTGGAGCAGATTAGAATTTGTGAACCAGTTGTCAAAAAGATACTCCAAAGTTTAATAAATCATTATGACCAGTATTTCACTTCTAATGTAAATCAGTTATCGAATGATTATTATGATTACTTTATCGATTTCAAGAGTAGTGCAAAATGAAGAAACTTCAGTTATCATAGAATAGCACTGTTAGGACCTAGTACATAGGTGGGGACAATTAATTTATTGTTTAACACGGAATTACAGAATATCTTCGTAAAATATGAGAACTCTACACTAGATACTTCATTTGCAAATTTTTATCATTTGTCCTTCACATTCTGTATGATTCTTTCAGTTGACGATTCCATTCTATTTTCTTATTTATTCTTATCAACTTGATCTTAAGCTTTTGCTGCCAGGTTTTCCTCTTTCGATTGATTCTACATACTACTTATGTGGACAGATATAAGAAGAATACACTACGGCAGTATTTATTTACAGTCTAAGTAAATATCTTATCAGTGTTAGTAATCATGAAATTAATATTTAGACTTTTCAGGTCATTTTTTGCATATACATATTACTGTTTGACATTTATTTTCATATAACACCTCATGCAAATGTGTGACACATAATGACAAATAGTTTGTTGACAATATTCAAAACATTCTAAAAAAATTTATTCAATGAACATGATTTTGATTAATTTGCATAAAACAACATAATTCATTTTAAAATGGTTATTTCTCAGTTATAAATTATACTACTGTTAAAATTAAAAAAAACGTCATAATAACACTTAACGAATGCAATAAATTCTCTGGATATCCTTTAAGTTAAAAGTACAACTTGCCTAAGGAATTGTGTGAAGAAGTGATTTATTAATTCAAGATATTTTCTTCAAGAAACTGTTATATTTTCTAAAACTTCTAATGAATAAAAATGTTTTTCTTATGAATTACTTTCTAAGCATATGCATACGTTTAATGAATTCATTGGAACTTCATTTATTAGAGTTTAAATATACTATGAATAACATCAGATAATGATGACTATTTTGAAGTAAATTATTATTAATATTCTTCTAGGAATTCTGGGAACCTTGTTCAAAAACAAATTTTTATGACGACATCAGGTTTTTTTTCCAGTTTAACGTTGAAACATTTCAAGTTTCAATTTGGATATCAGAAGATATATTTGGTGACAGATTTTAATATTATATTGTTCACTGCATGTTAACATAGTTTCATAATTATTGAATAAAAACTAAGCTTTTGAGAAGTAAAAAAAATGTAGTCACCTTTATAACATTCTTCTGTGATGGTAAGAAAAGATTAGAAATACGATTTATTTGTATCAGTCTTTGTGGTAAAATAAACGGCTACTTTTGATATGAGGTTTTTTTACCTTAATATAAAAACTTATTTTGAATAATAAAATATGTCGTTGAACCAACCAACAATGATATTCATCAAGACAATTGTAAAAAATTCTTTTTCGAAGTATTAGACAAGTATAGGATTGTTCAGTGGCATTCCATATTGTTCAAATTTCGATGAAATGGTAACATCGAATTCACCAAAATGGCACTTAAAGTTTAACAAATTTAAAAACAGATCATTTTGTCAATTGAAGCTAGACCACTATGGAAAACCTGGGAACACTGGACGGCCGTTTCGTTCTAGTATGGGACTTCTCAGCAGTGCGCCGGCCGGCATCCAACGGTGTTAATGTCTAACTTCAACCAATCCACGAAGTTGCTCCACCATTGTCTTCAGTGAGCTGATATCCCACAACAGACCTGGTTGAACTCCACTGGTCACGGCTTCTCACTAGAACTCCAGGAGTATCTTCCTGAAGTCAGTCACCAGTGAGCAGATAATTATTATCAAAAAGGGTTTCTGGAGATTTTAAAAATTTCACAGATTGAAATCATGAGTCAATTGAAGCCGGCTCAGCGGTCTAGTTCGTCAAACGCCCGGCGCAAGACTGATAGGTCCTGGGTTCGAATGTCGCGGGGTGCGGGATCGTTGATGCGCACTACTGAGGAGTCCCATACTAGAACGAAACGGCCGTCCAGTGCTTCCAGGTTTTCCATAGTGGTCTAGCTTCAATTGACTCATGATTTCAATTTTTGAAATTTTTAAAATCTCCACAAACCCCTTCTGATAAGATCATTTTGTGTAAGCTGGAATTAGTGGGAAACATTGAATTGTAATTTTAAAATATATATTCATTTTAAATTGCTTCTAAAATTTTAGAGCTGTGGTATCTTTGCTTACAATTCCGGACATTAGAGTTCATAAATATACTGAATATAACTTGATAAAATACTGTGTGGAGACTTTACCAAGTAGGATACGATTAATCTTAGTATAAAACATATAGATTTTTAATATTTCATTTTCATTGAATCCCACAATAGATAGAGAAAAGATAGCATCGTTTCAATTTTATTCATCTTTTAGAGAAAATTTTCAACTATTTAGCAACCAAATTGTGAATATCGATAAAATGTAAGATTATTATTTGTGAAAACGAAAGATGTGATTATTTATATTTTATTATCATAATATTTATTATTTATAAACTGATTGTGATATATGCAGTACATATAGCCACTGTCATTCTCAAATCATCATAATAATCTTATCATAATTATTCAGAGAAACAGATGAGAATAAATATACGTTTATAATTCGATTTTGTAATATTTATTTGATATATTTTATTCATAATTTAGTTGCCAAATTCAAAAAGTATTACATCAGTCTCTAATTCTTAATCTCTTTCATAACTTCATATAATAAGCTCATTTTTAAATAACAAAAAACTTTACTTTCAAGTTTGTATTTTTGTTTTGCTTTCAAGGTATTGGACTGGACATGATGCGAAATTTTTATACATGTTATTCGAATATGTATGCGGTGGTGAATTGTTTAAATATCTTCGAGAAGTGGGCCATTTCTCATCTGAAACTACACGATTTTATACAAGTGAAATTATTTTAGCACTGAAATATTTACATAGGTTAGTTATTGTTTTTTAGTAACATTTTAAATCAAAACGTTTTGATGGAACCCTTGCAGATATATTATGTTGTGTATCAAGAAACCAAATTTATGATTTTCTGTTGACCGTTTCCAACTGTGTAATTTAAAAAAAATCCACTGTAATAAAAAATAACCACTAAACGATATATAGCAATTTGAAATGACATCAGTAGACCATCAGTAATGACTATATAACATGTTATACATTGCTATCAAGTAACACAGAGTTAACTCATAAACTGGACTTCTTTTCCCTGGACATTCGAACTTGTTTTAGTAAAATACTAACTACCACGTAATCTAAATTCAAGGCTTTCTGTTAACCACATTCAGTCATTTGCCAGCTATTGTTCGAGCTGCTAGTTAAGTCTTGGATAAAGTGACCTTCATACCTTTATTTGAGTACTCTGAATGTCAAATGGAAAAGACCAATAAAAAAAACGAAATACATAATCGTTCATCTTCGATCATACTTTGTCTACTAGAAATGACTGTTCTGTAGTTATGAATTAAATTCTTACTGTCTATTTCCAGTCTAACTGTCTGTTGTTATGATCTCTGAGGAATGTAGTTTTGTTCAACTAAAATTAATTTGAAAATAGCTTGCAACAGAGATCGCCTTTTAATAGACAATAAGTGAAAACTATGGAGCACTGAACAGCTGTTTCGTCTTGATATGAAACTTTTCAGCATGTGAAGACAGTCTTCAGTATAAATTTTCTTTCAACTGAAGTGTTCAAAAATCTTTCATCCAAAATAACAAAATGAGATAATCAATAAACGTATGGAATCATCATAAAACTTCTAGTGTATAAATAACATATAACTGCATTAGAAGTCTCTATACTTCATATTGAGATTTTCAAGGATTTATATATATATATGAAGTATCATGATGATGCTCCTATGAAATTTAGGTTTATTGTGGTTAGTGAATGATTGTGAACATTCAGATACTGATGTCTTTTTTATAAAAATATATATACGACCACTCAATTTAATAGTAAGTAAATTAAATAATAATAATGATTTCAATTTATCAATATAATGCAATGTATTTGGACTCGTACTAATCAATGTACGTCAAATCTCTTTTCACTGAGATTTTCGCTCAATTTATTTTTATGTTATTCATTCCTAGTCACTGTCATCGAAGTAGTGATATCTTCCATGGATTAATTGTAAATATATGAATAATTATAAAACTCGATGATATACTCTTTTACTAAAATCCATAAGACTAAGAACATTAACCGTATTTACATCCTTATAAGATAAAAATCAGATCATATTTTTTTGTTACAGTATAAGTATTTTCTATTTGTGAAACATTCAAAACAAGGTTATGATAAAATACTAAGATTAATATGGTAATTATACCAATAATGTAATTAGTTTTACAGAAATATGATGTGAAACATTTTTTTCCCATTCTCTTCTGTTTTGCAATTCCCATAGTTTCATTTAACTTACAATTAGCTGGTTAAAGTGGTAACCAATGTTATAGTTTTTACCTCAGTTATCTAGTTATAACGTAAGTTTTTTGAAAAATATACTATGTCACCACTCATTTAACTAATAATAATACAGATAGAGTAATGAATTTCGATATCTTAACAAACTATTATTTTGGTGGTATCAGTGAGTCCAGAACAGAAAGTTTATGAATATACATATCGAAGTGTTTTTTTAACGGTTACATATTATGATGCATCGTTCAAACTAGCTAAAATTATTTGATTAAGTAGGCTGTTCATTATATACCCTTTTTCCCGTCATCTTTATTCTTTTTCACCTTAGTACGATTTAGAGTATATATTAGTCACGGTAATATACACCATGAAGAATAAATGATACATGGTAGGTGATTACTTATATGATCTAATGGATGATGAAATCGCTGTATGAATATCTAGCTGTCAATTAAAGTATACTATTAATCTGTATATATTAAACGTAAAACGAGTATATGGTGTATTATATAATGCTTTTTGCATAAACAGTTGTAAGCCGACGGAATTATCAAATTCTTGGGAGTTTTATTTAACACTTTGTTATGATACTCAATCAAAAGCTTACTTGGAAAATTGTCTGCCTAGTTGTATTCTTATAACAAATATACTAACTCATGGATTTAACAAATATGAACTAAGCTATTTATAAGAAAGTCTTCTATTCAATTTTTCTTGTGTTATTTTCAGTTTGAATATCGTGTATAGAGATTTAAAACCGGAAAATTTGCTTTTGGATTATTCAGGTCATTTGAAGATGACTGATTTTGGATTCGCAAAGCATGTTAAAGACCGGTTAGTTGACAATGTTGCTGTAAATTTGTAGAGTGAAAACGTTTACTAATGTATAAATATTACGATAATTTTTAATTCAATATGTTCGATCAAACTAAGGTAGTATTACAAGTAATAACTTCAGTTTATAAGGCAGAAGGCTAAAAGGCCTATGTTAGTAATGACTGTTTCTTTCGATTTTACCCAACTTTCTCTGCAAAAACTTTACGATAAGATTTTTAAGCATATGTTCAGTCAATAAGATTGATTCGTTACAGAATGGTAAATAGGTAAGTGATCAGTTGGTGATGGTTATTGATCCCATTGCTAATTTGTTATTATGGTACATGGGTTATGTCTTATCACGTTATGATATGTCCAAAGTAGAAAAGCATGATCTATTCACCCATAAAGAAATTACTTTTAACTAATTTTGTAACATATTAGTTAATATTGCAAATTATTAGTTTGGAATAGATTAACCCATTTGCATTACATCTCTCAGTAAACATGACTATTAATAATCTATAATCTTGAAATTTTATGATGGAAATACTCGTGACTATACACTTATTAATTTGTTCATAGTGTTAAATTAGTTCGAATGTGTTTTTTCATTTTATTAATTTCAATGGTTAAGATCATGAGTCAGTTGAAGCTAGACCACCATGGAAAACCTGGAAGCACTGGACGACCGTTCCGTCCTATTGTGGGACTCCTCAGCAGTGCACATCCACGACCTCGTCCCCTGCGAGACTCGAACCCAGGACCTACTGGTTTCGCGCGCGACCACTTAACCACTAGACCACTGAGCCGGCATCCAATGGTGTTAATGTCTAACTTCAACTAATCCACGAAATTGAGCGACACATCCATCATTGTCTTCAGTGAGTTACTATCTCACAACAGACCTGGTTGAACTCCACTGGTCACTGCTTCTCACTAGAACTCCAGGATATACCTAGTGGTTAAGTGCTCGAGCGTATAACCGGTAGGTCTTGGGTTCGAATCTCGCAAGGGGCGAGGTCGTGGTTGGGCACTGCTGAGTAGTCCCACAATAGGATGAAACGGCCATCCAGTGCTTCCAGGTTTTCCATGGTGGTCTAGCTTCAACTGACTCATGATCTTAGTCATTGAAATTACTACAATCTCCACAAAAGCCCATCTGATAAAGTTATTATTATAAGTAATGTTCAATATACGTAGATACTCTAAGAAAGTCTTCCTAGCCACAAAGTAGAGTAAGTTATAGGATGATAGAAATTAATTTTCTATTTTTAAAAGTATATTAAAGTTTTCAATCTTTGGAATACAGATTGATATTTCACAACATTTTGTCTTTCAGTATTAAAAAGAAATTATTATTACGAATAAAAGCTATAGTGCGATAAGAGATTGTATAAAGAGTTTGACTTGTAGATGAGAATTGAAGTAGCGTTGATGTTGATGATAGAATTAAACCAGACTGTTACATCGTACTAAGATATGTTGTTAAATTGTCGATTTTTTCCTAGCCATAGAAAGCTGCTATTGTTTTGAATAGAACGTGTAGATAGACAAGGATTTAGGACCCGGTATTTTCTTCGTCTAAAAACTGGAATAGCAAAATGGCATAATGAACAGTGTAATGTGGGGCGGTTTTAGACAAATAACAATGTTTATATTAACTAGAAGAAAGAAAATAAAAACATAGAGCAAGAAATCTGAAATTTACTACTTTTATTTTTTATTGATTCCTGACAAACTGATTTATAGAAGAGATCGTTTAAAACTAACCTGCCCTTTTGTTAATATCACTACAATAACGAAGAGAATGATGCAGTTAGACTGAAGTCTGAGATTAATCAGATAATGTCTGAGGAATTTGTAATATTTGCCTATAACATAGTAAAAGAATAAAAGGGCATACCAAAGACGTTTTGTTGTCAAGTTCACTTGTGAATCTTTACATCTCTAACGTCCCCGTGTACTAAGATATATTCTTTGATATAAGCACTCCTAAGATATTGTCAAAATAGTTAAAAATATCCATTAAATATTATAAAAAAATTGTAATTGATTGCTTTCACGGATAGACCGCTTCAGTTATCTTAGATGTTTAAACATTTCGTCGTAGTACAATTTTAACTTAGAATGGAATCGGAATAAGAAAATCTCTACCTTTGAAATTGACAGTAAGCAGTTGAGGATATTTTCGAATTTCATTGAAACCACAGATCGATCGATGTAAGACCGTAGTGAACGACAACACCTATCGGGACAATCAAATGTATTTGAATAGAAAATCACAGAACATTTTAGTAACATCTGAGAAATATACAGTAAATTGACTGTTCCTTCTGCAAAATGTCAATCAATCATCTCAGACCTCATTGTTCTTTCGTTTCCACACCAATCATTCTCTGTTCTCGTTCTCTTTCCTTCTATCTTCTTAACCTTCTGCCTCCATACGTTTCACTTTCAATTGATGATACATACTACTTATATCTGTCGACACCGGTAGCACACACCACAAGACCACCACTAAAAACTTAGAAGCACTGTACGGCAGTTTCGTCCCAGCGCGCGACTCCTCAGCAGTACGCATCCAGGATCCCACGCGTCGGACTTGAACCCAGGACTTTTGGTCTCGCGCAGCCCGTTCAGTGCTTCCACAAATTCAATAATAGTCTCGCATTGTACGGTTCATGATTTCAATGAACATCAACATTGAGTTGAGAATGTTTCAAATTCTTGCTATAATGAGTTCAATAGAACTGCTGCATGTAAAAGGTAACTGACTAAAAACCTTTAAAAAATTATCAGATTTAGATTAGCTTCTGATTCTACAAGGGATCATTTTCCGTTTCGTTGCATCTGGATTCTTGATATAAAGTACAGTCATAGAGGAAGTAAAGATACCTAGAGCAGATTCTTCATTAGTTTTATCTTCAATGAAAACATTACTCATAATTATAGTGTTCTTTGATAGAATATATACCATGTACAATGAAATCTATGCAAACTATTCAGTATGTAACACAAAAGTTGACATCACCTTAATATCTGCTTAGTGACATATAAAAAAACAAGCTGCAGACAAATCTACCACTCAGTAAAAACAAGATCACTTCACGTCATTTATGAAGAAGCTTTATTAATGATGAAGATCACTCCGGCAAGCCTATCTGCTTTTTTCAGTACTATGTCCTAATTCATACTTCTTGTACATTGGTGAGATCTTGTTGAATTCCATTGTAACGCAATTTTGTATATCAATGATCGTGTGGGAAAATGAATACTAAAACCAGAAAAAAATTACCCGTGTTGAAATAATAATAAACATCACTTATGAAAGACAATAAAAACCAAATATCATGGAACATTACCTTGTATAACACCGCTTATAACTGGATGTACGTTTGATAGTGAGGAATCTAAGTAACTTTAGTATCAATGACTCAACCACTCAAGAAAAAGCTTTTTTTCCATACACAATCTGAGTTTACTCATAAGAGTTTAAAAACGTCCTATTCCGGAAAAAAGAGTTGACAAAGCTATTTTTCAAAACTATGTGTATAATGGTGTCTTAATATAGATGTACAAGTCAATTAGTTTTTTTAATGACAAACAATAATTCACTAAAATACATTTTTTATTGATGTAGCTTATAAACAGTTAGTTCTATAGTCAGTAATTAGGAAATGTTCTCGTATTTTTTTATTTTTGCAAACCTTGTGTAAATGAGATAAATTTTAAATGAAAGAGCATGGAAATATGTGGGTTATTGGTTCGGATAATAAACAATTCATCTAAACATTTTAACTTATCACAAATGAACACCCTACTAAGTATGTCACCACAAAACTTTAGTTTATATTTATTAGTCAGAACCACATAAAAATGATATCATTAGTTGATACGTTGTTTCCTATGATGTTTCATCTACTTTTAGAACTTATTCACTTTGTGGTACACCAGAATACTTGGCACCTGAAATTCTCCAGGGTAAAGGTCACAATCATGCAGCTGATTGGTGGACTACAGGAATTATTATTTATGAAATGTTGGTTGGGTACGTTTTATCTATTTATTTAAGATCTGTTTATTTCCATCTTCCAAGTAATCACATAATTAACCCATTTCCGGATACGTTACTTTTTTGGTCGATTAGTGTAAACTAGGATAATAAGTTGAATGATAGTCGATCGCAAACATAAATTTCAGATTCACAATAAGCAAAATATCTATCTATTAGGGTAAGAAAAGTCATGCATTATTACTTATTGTAATGATTCAATCTGTGATGTGGTCGAAAAGATCAATTTTTCTGAATAAGCAGATGTAAAATATAGTTGTGAGTATGATCATTCACCAATAAAGAGTTAGACTTAATTATCGGCCAATAGGTAGAAAACTTAGCGTTATAGTGAAGTGAAGATCCAAAAATGAAACGTTTATATATCGGTCAAAAATTTGTTTTGATAATGCACACATGAAAAACAAAGATAGTCGACAGGATTAAAAAAAAGGGTAAAAAAACATCTCGTTCTTATTTTACTTTCATATACCACTTGGCGTTCATCAAACCACATGGCTGTAACCTAAATCTCCAATATTTAAATCAAACAGTTTCATGTTTCTAATGAATTTTATGTTTCGTTTAATTTTCTTTCAAAAACAAAATGTATTTTCTTTGATAAGAAATAATCCAAATATTCTGTATAATCAACATGAGTCTTATAATACATTTAGTCGATTACATCTATTTTTCATGCCTGAAGGCAATTTTTGTTGCACTACAGACACATTATATCTTTCTTTAATGAGTTTATTATTATTTTTTTTAAAGTTTATTTTTAAAACATTCAATAGAACGGTTCATTTCTGTTGTAAGCCGTTGCTAAAAAAAAACAACGACCATTAACATTCACAGGTTTAGGCAAATGACATAAAAATTATCTGAATTTGCTTAACGTTTGAGGTATATTGTTTCATTCAAATTTATTGTTTATTTATCAATCAATGGATGATTTTATCGTTTCGTGTAGAGCCTAAGGTTTATTTACTTTAATAACTTCCTTGTGAAAAGCTGAATAGTAAATAAAAATAACTTACACTGATGTTGATATAATACCATTGACAATTGAAAAGAATTATTTATGATAAAGGTAATTTGAAGGAACTCGGCTATCAGTTTTACACTACGGAGTTCTTGAGAAGATTGTCAATATTATCCAGAACTCATACGACGGACTACAGTGCAAGGTCGTGCATGGAGGATAGCTGACAGACGCATTCCAAGTAAGGACCGGAGTCAGACAAGGCTGTTTACTCACTCCCTTCCTCTTTCTTCTGATGGTCGACTGGACTATGAAAACCTCGACATCTGAAGGAAAATACGGAATACAATGAACGGCTCAGAATCAATTAGACGATTTGGACTTCGCAGATAACTTAGCCTTCCTATCGCATACACACCAACAAATACAGACAAAGACAGCCAGTGTAGCAACAGACTCTGCATCAGTAGGCCTCAACATACATAAGGCGAAAACCAAGGTTCTCAAATTCAAAACGGAGAACAGCAATCCAATCACTCTTGATGGCGAAACTCTGGAAGATGTAGAATTCTTCACATACCTGAGAAGCATCATCGATGAACAAGGAGGTTCAGATGCAGACGAAAAGGCGAGGATTGGCAAAGCAAAGACAGCATTCCTTGAGTTGAAGAACATATGGAACTCAAAACAACTGTCAAGCAATATCAAAGTGAGAATCTTCAATACGAATGTCAACGCAGTTAGTTCTACTGTACTGAGCTGAAACTTGGAGAACTACTACAACCACCATCGAGAAGGTGCAAGTATTTATAAATAGCTGTTTACGCAAGATACTCAACATCCATTGGCCGGATACCATCAGCAGCAGCATTCTCTGAGAGAGAACACGCCAGCTTCTAGCTGAAGAGGAAATAAGAAGACGATGTAAATGGATAGGACATACATTGCGCAAATCGTCAAACTGCATGACGAGGCAACCCCTAACTTGGAATCCTGAAGGGACGTGGAAAAGAGGAAGGCCAAAGAACACATTACGTCGGGAAATAGAAGCAGATATGAAAAGTATCATTAGGAACTGGAAGGAGCTGGAAAGGATTGCTTGGGACAGGGTTGGATGGCGACTGCTGGTGAGCGGCCTATGCTCCTTTTTGAGGAGTGACAGGCGTAAGTAAGTAAGTAAGTAATTTGAAGATATAACTTTATAAAAATGAGTAAACATAAAATTTGTTTAAATTGAGTCAATTAATTCTTTAACGTATTGCTTGTTTTTTTAATTAATTTATCCTGCTTTACTTAATTAACTTTAAATTGGATGGATGATCATTCGCTGTCTGTAGTCGTCCACCATTTTATGATGAAAACGATAATCGATTGTATATATATCAGAAAATTGTATCAGGAGATTTTGACTTCCCAGACGAAATCGTAGATGAAAATGCTAAGTAAGTAGTGTTTGTTTTGTGCAGTTATATATTTTATGACCCTATATCGTTGTTTACCTGTGTTAAAGTTAAGAAATATTATGTTGGGGAAAACATATTTTATCTGTTTTATAAATTAAACCCAGTTGATAACTGCCTTATTCATAGATTCACTATATTAACATTAGAAATATATGATTCTATTGCTTATCCAAATGGGAAATGTAGTACATTCAATCATTATTTTTCGCTATTTATTTTCTGGTTTTCCATCACTTTCAAACTAATTCAACATTTATCAAATCATTTTAATTCAGCTGAATAATTTACTTTTAAAAATATGCGGCTTAATAATTAGTGCTGTTTAAATTTTTCTCATAAGTTTGCCAATAGTTATAACTGACCTGATATTATTTTGTGTAGCATTGAAATTTCATGTTAATAATCATTTATTCAGGATTACTATTTGAGCTAATAAATGTTTGATGTACAAATCTTTTCAATCAGCACACGTAATGACAGCTCCAACTGACAAAAATTAAAAAAGAGTTTGTATACATCACGTCACTGATAATTTCCTACCTAACGTACTTGCATTACTCCATGTTTCGATTGGGTGTACTGTCTTCTGAGTCATTTAAACGTTGAATAACTTTTTTATTCATGTAAGCAATTGATCGGTACTCAAACATTTCTGATATTCCAGTGTCTATCTCAATGGGATACTTTCTAAATATATTTCCTACAGGCTGTATTCAGTGAAGGCACCATAAGTCTTATCTTTCTCCTATCAAACACTTTTTTGAAAAGTCTTAGATTCAGTAGAGAACAAATATATAAGCAATAAATTGTTACCATCGTCCATTTAAAGACATTCAAGTCGTTTATGCTAAACTTATTCAACATTTTAAAAAATCTTGAAAATATTTTGGATGATTACAATTAAAGATTAAGTCACGTGAATAGAAGTAAAATCTGTTACCACAGCACAAATATGCTATTTTTATGTCACTAACCTTACCGAAACAGGACAAACAGGAAGAAAAACACTTTTATTATATAATATTAAGAGCTGAGTAAATAGCTACACAAATGTTAATAGTTACATGTTTTAACTGTACGTAAACTGTAAAAATCTTTACATGTTCAACAAATGTTATTACTCCGAATTTCAAACGTGTCCAATATTGTATGCAAAGATGGATAGTGGTCAGCAGTGGAATCCAGGACGCCCTTTTCTTCCTATTTGGGACTCGTCAGATGAATGTGCCTGCACTCCAGAGTTGATGTTCACTCCGGAACTCGAACCCAGTACCGTCCGCTTTAAACGCCATCGCGTTATCTGCTAAGCTACTGAGACCTGATAGCCACTTGCTTGTGCAATTAGGTGAAGTTTAAATTCACTTGGTATTGTTTGTTTGAATATTCCTATTGATGTTTAGGACTGCAATTGATTAGTCACTTATTGGCATATGTGCATATTGTGCTAAATGGATAACGCGATGCCGTTTGAAACGAACTGTACTAGGTTCGAGTCCCAGAGTGAACATCAGCTTTGAGATGCAGGTACATCTATCTGATGAGTCCCAGATAGGACGAAATGCGCGTCCTGGATTTCACTGCTAGCCACTATCCGTCTTTGCATATAATGCTCGTGAATTAAGGCTCTATCGAGGCAATACGCACAGTATGCACATATGTCAATAAGAGACTGATCAATTGCAGTTCGAAACATTAATGGGAAGATTCAAACAAACAATGACAAGTGTCCAATATTATTTCGATTTCTATATAGGCAAAATTTAGCGTAATACACGTATTGGTCAGTTTTAACTTTCATGGTCGTTTTTCGTTTCATTTTATATGACATGCCTTGCAAGTTATCATCTAAAAAATAAAATTGAATACATTTTTTTAAAACTAGAAAAGTAATTCATCGAATGTCAAGATTCATTGTTTTGTTTTTACTCATTTTCGTTCTTTCTCATATTTATCTACTCAGTTTTATTTTAATGCATTTTATTGTCACAAATAGATCAATCGTCAGGAAATTTTTACGTGTGAATCTCAATGAACGACTTGGCAGTTCTAAAGTAAGAAATAAAAACAATTTTTTTAAGGATAGAGAAGTTTCTTTTAGAGTTCTTAAAAGTTCACATCATCATCTGCGGTGTCTTTTATTAAACTAATAAAATTATTTCATACACATAGTTCCCTTTATCATTTTGAAAAGAGCAAGAACAAAGATTCTAGCAGAATAGCATGAATTCATTTTATTTCGTAGGTTCTCGTCAGCTGCTTACAGGTTGTAAGCAGCTGACGAGAACCTACGAAATAAAATGAATTCACGCTATTCTAATAAAATTATGAATGATAACTTTTTAACTGTATGGTAAACTTACAACTATCTATAAGTTGCTACTTTCCTGTTCTTAATGTTCAGATATGAAATAAATCAATTTTTTCTTCTTCAGAAGATCCCTTAATATTTTATACATTTTTATGTTTTTCAACAAAACTCATTATTAAGAATAATAATATTGATAAAGATTACTTTGTTTAACAGTTTACTGACTAAATCTTTTAAGGAGTTTAGTTGATAAAACAATGGCTTATGAAATGATGGATATTATTTAAACTTATTATGAGTATCAATATTAGAATGCAGAAACATCCATTTAGCGAATCACAAGTAGAAAGAAGGACCCTACACTGTATTCAACTTTTAATTTGTATTGAAAAAAATATATAATTTTGACCTTCCTAAAAATGAATAAGACATTGATAGAATTCTTTCTTCTCTCTGATGCCTCTTCTAGAGCTCTTGTGGTTGATGAATATAACTGGCGTTATTCTGATAAGAGATTTATCATCTCAGCTATTTGAGTTAAATTGTTTCATAAACATGTTAAGGACCTTGATTTATGAAATAAATCAGCAAAACTTAAAATAAACTTCAACATTAATTAATATTGTTGCGAAAATGGTATACATCAATTAGAGGCAAATCTAAATGAGAAACAATACACTTATTTGTTTTTAGAATATCAAATAGTTTATTTTCCTGTTGTTTGTTTTACATTTTTCAATGTAATAAGTTATTAATAACAGATCCTTTCTTGATCGCAACCTTGCAGAAATAATCATGATTAATGGATGAGATTAATTTTTAGTTAGAATTTAAGACTGCCACTCAGTGTATACACATGATTCAATCACAGATAACACTTAAGACACATGAGAATGTTATTTTCAAACGATTTAGCTAACAGTTCAAATGTGCAACTTCAATCAACTTGTGATAAAGCTTAACAATGTTTTAATATCAGGACTTTGTCAAAAAGTGAAAGGAGATGAAAATAATCTAATTAATTGTTAATCTTATTTGAGGGAAGAATGATGGAAACTGAAAAGATAAGTGAATACAAGATCAATTATATTCAGTAGCAAATGACTGAATTTTAATGAAAACCAGTTACTATTTGCAAATGACTTATTAATAATCTTTGAGAATTATACTGACGAGAAATGTACATGTTATTTTTGTTTATCTGTGTATATTTTATTACAGGATAGTATGTATGAAATATTAGAACATCCGTGGTTCAGTGATATTTGTTGGAGTGATGTTTTCCAGAGAAAGTTAAAGGTGATTTAGTATAATTTTATTTCATATGAACTATTGATATACCTTTTAAAATGAACGAAAATTAAAATCACTAAGGGACATTTCTAATATCAATAGACTAATTACCGAAACTATAAAAGACATTTCAAAATATATAATTTCAACTGATTAACTCAGTACATATCCACACCTTTTGTTTAAAACTAATTAATGGTATCAAGCTAACTAAACATAAGTAACCAGTGAAATTCTAAAATCTACTATTTCCCATTATCATTAATAAACTGAAACACTATGTTTGAAGTCAGAGACTGATTGACTGTGAGTATAGTTTGAACATAAAGTTAAGGGAATACCTTAGTCATTAGTAATGCATAATGAAAGTACATTATATGTTAACTTTAAATATCACTCATTGTCTACGCCATGATTTATTTTCGAAGTTACATATTACACTGTTATATTAAAACCAGTGATTCACAGTTTTTTTGAAAAAATAGAATTAACTTGTTTGACGATAACTGATTGACTGGGTTGTAGCATTCATTTAATCGCACATCGAAGTGAGTCTAACAAGCAGTTTGTTCAAGTGAACAGTTTTACGCACTCCGGTTTTAGATGTATATATCGATTACTGACAGTAATCTGTTAACTTTAAAACTAAGTGGTATATATTATTGATGAAATTTTAAGGTGAAAATTTATTTCAGCTAGAGAGATTTAGATTAATTGTTCGAAGCTTTATTAGTTGAGCTACGATACCCGGTCACTTGAATTATCTTATGTCTATTGACCTCTTAAATCTACCCTGTTGATTTCGAGCAAGCTGGACATACATAAATTATGATGGTTCATTATATCAACAATCATAATTTACTTAACTAGAGCTACTCTTTTTATTATGCTTATTTATTTTATTTGTCACAAACACATGTTTGAAGTTGAATGCGTATAGTTGAGGTACTAGGAAAAAGAAAATTATTATCCAACTCATATGGTTCCATTCAAAAAAGCTTACAGACGATTTTGGTACACATTACCAAATGCTGAAATTTGTACCAAGCACCAAAGTTGAGCTTTGGCACTTGTATGTATCAAGTGTTATTTCTGGCTCGAACTATTGAATCTGGCACAAAAATATAAGTCTTCATATTTCTATATGTAAACTCTTACGAATGAAATGAGCACCAAACAAAAATTGCCAGCGTGATTATATACATGATCACTGTAACTGAATCGACATAAATTAACTAAATTTAGTTCTCAGCAGATTTATTCGGAATAAAATGAACAGTAAACTTAGCTGATCTATTAGTGACTGCAGAACTTAAAGAAATTTCACTGTTTTATAGTTTTTATTTATTGAAGTAAATTGATGTCTAATGTTAGGCGTTTGGAGTTAATCGATAGGTAACTGCATACCCAGCTCTCGTGCTGTTTGGCATCCCTAAGCAAAGGTAAACCTGTGATATTAATGAAACTGATACTTTCGGCGAAATTATAACCTACATCACCAAGCTTTGTAGTCCGAGGTGTTATCATTTAGATATTCTTCTCTTAACTGACCTCTTGTGAGACTGAGATATTTACAACTGATGAATCATTGAGTAATGACCAATGTTGTTTATGTTTAGGTCATTATTGTTGACTAGTTCACTAGTCTAATTTAAGTGAATGCAGTGTGTTAATATATTAGGTGGTTGGACGAAGTTTATCGATAGCTCTGGAGCTAGGTTTCATGCAATTTTTTAATCGTCATCACAAGTCACTTCTTGAAAATAGCAAATGAGTATTTAGTACTGTTTATATCATCATTTTTTCATGGACTCATAATTCAAGTGAAAAATATTAACGTCTGTAAAAGTACCACGTTTTTTGTTAGCCGAGGAACTGGTTATGCACCACAAAAGTGAGTAACCTTCAAGCCTGATACAGAGAAGAACTATACATTATTACATGTTTTCTTGTATAATATCTAGTAGATCACTTCTTGATAAAATGTTTTACACAGGGAACTATATAGTTATAGATGCATATATACAAGCCAGTAAGTTATTTTTTTCTAAACAAATAATTCAGAGGTACTGCAGTGTGCCAGCTGTTTTATGTAAATTTCAAAATTTATGTAATTTTTAACTCCTGTACAAAACCACATGCAGCTCCTCACAGAAATAAAACAGTAACGATCAAATATGTCAGTCGTTTTGGCAGTTGAAAGTTTAACAAAGTATGAAAATCATGGTGATCTACCTTTCCAACTTATTAAAAGTAAGGGGCCTAAAATAAGAATCGTATTTAGCCATTTCTGACAGCTGTTTGTCTTCTTAACAATATTAATAATGTCATACTATTGTCAAGAAAGTCCATCTAACTTTCTGTTAATAAATAATCATTTATATCTGTTTATTCTAACTGGTAAAATCCAAATGTCAGCAAACCAACTCTGACCATTTTACTTGATGATATCAGTTAGATTCTATGGAATACTTAGAAATGGTAGATGATCTATATAAAAGATATTTTCAGATTCGATAATGAGATATGTTAACAGCAACAATTAATAAATAATTTATTTTTCCAAAAAGAAAAAGGTATTTTGGAAGTTTCCAGAATTTTGAATAGAGGATATGTCTAATGGAAGTTCGGTGTCATTGACTATGCCTACGTATAACCAAATGTTAGACTGAATGTAGGATCTTATAGTCTCCTAGACAGTGTAACACTATTGAAGCAATTTTTTAAAATATAATGGATCACATTCTGTAGTATATATACATATCATTGACCAATAACTCCTTTTTTAAAAATTATTTTAGCCCCCAATCATTCCCAATGTACAGAGTGATGGTGATACCTGCTGTTATGAACAGTATTTTGAACAAGATTGGTCCGAAATTCCCTTATCCAGTATTAGTTCTCGTAATTTATTCAAAGAATTTTAATGGAAAATATATACATTACAATTCAATTCATTTGTCTACTAATAATGATGAACTTTACACTCAACAAACCATCAGTTTATTTATTGATCTGAGTTACAAATAAATGTTCAATTATGAAATACTTTCAAATCTAAGCCAAATAATAAAATGAAATTCATGGTTAACTGACAATAAAAATAGATATATGATTATTCCTGTGAAAAGGTATTTATCATTCATACAATATGCCATCACATTTCCAATTCATGTATTGATATTTATATTATATTTACATCAGTAACATTACCACTGAGAAACTAATTTGCTTTCGTTTATTACCTCTTTAATGCTTGTAATGGTTATCAAAAAAAAAAGAAGAAATATATGAGTTTTCATTTTTCTTGTGTGTGTATGTGTGTCTATTTTAAATCTGTCAACTAAACTAAATTGTTCTGTACAATATTATCATTATTAAATCTTCTTTTCATGGAAACAAAATCAGATATATCAACCATTATAATATTAATCTTATTGTCTAATTGTATTTCACTTGATCTAATTCTAAAGATCTTTATGTATAAAAAGAAAAACTTTTTATTCTAATTCACAATTCAAAATGATATCTATATCTGAAGTATAAATCTTGTACTTCATTTGAAGTCCCTTTTTTTCTCCTTTATTGATTAGTTTGTTTTTCTAGATTGTTTCTATCGTAAATTAGTTTGTTTGTTTTTTCATTTTACATGATGAATTCAGAAATATCTAACTATTTGATCATCTTTTCTTTTTTCTTTAAATTAATGGATAAACTTAGTTTTTTCTCTTTTTTTCTTAATTTGTATAAGTAAAATAAATTGGGTTTTTTTTTCTATGGTAATATTAGTATAGTGAAATGAGATAATGAATAGATTTTCTTTTTCTAATGATTGTGTTATCATACACATAATAATAACAGCTCCAATTGACGAAAAATTAAAAAAGAAAGAGTATGTAAGCATCATGTCACCGATAATTTCCTATCTAATATACTTGTATTACTCAATGTTTGATGAATTGAGTGTACTGTCTTCAGAGTGATTTAAATGTGTATGTAAAATGAATGAAAGTTTACAGTAATATTAACTTAGTATTATAGTTAAATGAGATAATGAATAGATTTTCTTTTTCTAATGATTATGTCTTATGATAATTATTTAATGTTGCCCTACATCTTCCGGTGTTTTTGTTTGTCAATGTTCAATATTCAATTGAATGTATTATATTTTCTTATATTTCATTTTGTTATAATTTATCTGTCATAAAAATGAATTTAATGGTTAGTTATTTTTATGGCATTTGATTTTCATAATTCTTTATCTTTATTTACATGATTGTACTATGAAATGACATGAGAAGAACAAAAATACAAAACAGAATGAAAACTATCTATAGATGTCAGTCAGTCAGCTGCAACGTAGGACCAGGCACATATGTGCATCGGTCCAGGTTCCCATACCGCATCAGCACAACAAGATGAACACCGGATTCATAGCAGTGGTTAGGTCAAAGGTGGTAATATATAAGAGAAAGATTGCATATAGAGATATAGTACAAGAAAGAATTGGTTCGTAGAAAGAAAGATATGAAGTGATTTTAATCTCTTAGTTTAAGGGAAGACAGGGAGTGTATACACCGACGCCATTGTGATCGATTCTGAGCCATGTCACCAAGAATCTCCAACCATTGGTTACGACAGTCACAACGACCCCAACCAAGTAGTCTGCATCTACCAACATGGCTCAGACTAGAGGTTAGTGACTTCAAGCACTGATGCCACGTTTTGGTTTGGCCGCCCCTAACATTCTTCCAACCATCTCCAATACCGGATAGAATTGCACGTCGTGGTAGTCGGTGTTCAGGCATACGTAACACGTGGCCCAACCATCTCAGTCGATGAAGATTCATAACCCCATCAACAGATTTACCATCATTCCCTAATACCCTGCGTCTAACCTCACTATTACTTACCCGGTGATCCCATCAGATGCGAGCAATATTTCTAAGGCATCTGTGGTCAAATACTAATAGCTCACGAGTGTCTTCTACTCTTAATGGCCATGTTTTGCTGCCGTAAAATAAAACAGAACGGACTGCCGCGCAGTATACCCGTCCTTTTATTGATAGACGGATATCTCGCCTTCGCCAAAGGTGACGTAAGTTGGCGAAAGCCAAACGAGCTTTTCGAATCCGTGCTGAGATTTCGTCAGATACCAACCCATTAGGGCTGATCAGACTTCCAAGATAAGTGAAGTTGTCAACGCGTTCGACTACTTCACTCGCTATCCTTAGTTCAGGTGTTGACGCAAACCAGTCCTGAAGCAACAACTTGCATTTAGAGGGAGAGAAGCGCATTCCAAACATTCTGGCATTGTTGCTTAGTGCTACCAAAAGTCTCTGCATTTTGTCAGGGTCTTCACCAAACAGATGTTACTGAATTGAATGATTATTATTACTATTATTAATGTAATTTCATTTACCCTTTCTACTATTCACTTATTCTAAAGCACTGAAAATTACGATTAAAATGAAATATATTCAAATATCAAGTTAAGATTGAAATAAAGGAATTCAAATTCTATTGAGGATTTTTCATATACGGTTACTAACTTATGAAATTGAATAATAAATAAAGTTACAAAAAATGTCATGAATTTAAATATTATTATCATTATTGAAGGTGTAAGATAAATGTAAAGATGTTCATTAGGAAATCTAAATACCTAGATAAGATTCTTTATGTTGTATTCGTATTAATAAACTATCCATCAGAATAACTAATTCCATTTAATAATAATGCAAAAACAAAACTCATATATCAATCTATAGGATATACTGCTAAGTTGAAATTATCATTTTAATTGCATTCTAAGTGATGACAATTTCTATTAGCCACAGACTTGAGAAACATACACAGTCATAGGGTTGTACTGCTGAGTTTTAAACTGATTCGATGAAGCTATTCAATCTTCTCTAGATGATTCAAGTTCATATCAAAAATGTATTCAGAAATATGTCTAGATAGGAAGATATTACAAAAGTTTGGAATACTTGTTCATTATTATAATAATTTACTTAATAGAGATATCATCCTACTAGCTGTACAAGTATACAATGAATTTGAAAGCAATGACCATAAAATAATGGTTTGTGCTCTCCCTATCTATCCCTATTATAACCGACTCATGCAGAATCCCGCCAATATAGAGACTATAAGCATACTGACTGGGACCTCCCACGCTCAGTGGTTAGATTTTCAGACCGGGATAACTTTTTGCCATGTAATAGTCTCGTGGATGCCATCGACACATCCTATCTAATCGTCAACTCTCGTCTAGATTCTTGAGCACCCCTTGAAACGTACAGGTTTAATAAACCTTATGAATTATATATACCAGCTAAATATCGTAGTAAACCAAAGCGCCTACAGAAACGTTATTTTAAATCAAATGACTTCATGGCAGCTGCATAAATAACAAAATTGTTTAACCAAATTAATGAGAAGTACAGGTTAAAAGCCACTAACGAGGAGCTGTTGGCACTTAATACTAGCACAAAAGTACAAAACCTAATTCTCCTCAATAAACGCGTTAAAGTAATTCAAAATCCTGATATACCATACATCCTGCATAATAGCAATTTTATATATTACTCTAAAGCTATAGCAGACCTTTTCATTGGTACTTTTGTGAATGGTAGAGAGCTCCTAAATGGCACTGTTTCAAGAGTCATATGCGTGACTTGTGACTCAATAAAATATATATCCTTCATATAACTAAACGTTAGTGAGACTATAAATTCCCTTAAAGTCTCGGGCAATCATGGATCCCATCCTTTCTCTACAAATATTGTGGTTCAGATATTCCTTTTCTTCTTCTAAAGCTGCTTACTGTATGGAGTCAGGTGCTTACCCTCGCTGTCAAAAAACCACGTAAATCATATCATGTTACAAATCCGGAGATAAGACTGACATGAACAATTATCGGCCCATTAATATTACTCCAGTGATCTTTAGGATTGTGGGAAAAATTATTAGTGACGAACTCTCCAACTATTTCCTAGCTGAAAACTTTATCAATGGTGCTCAACATGGATTTCTTAAAAATCGATCTTGAGTGACATGCCACTTTGACTTTTTTAATCCAGCTTATTCTCAACGTAACCAGGGATATCTAGTCTTAGTGCTATACTTGGACATTTCTAAAGCCTTCGACATGGTTAACCACCAACCTACGGGGTCCCAAACCCTTTGCTTGCTTGGTTTGGTTCCTTCCTTAGCAACCGACATCAAATAGATAAAATTAACTCATCATTATCGAACGCTGTCCCTGCTAGAAGTGGTGTAATACAAGTTAGTATCTTAGGCCCTTTACTCATTGTAGTTTTTTGTGTGGGTAAGCCCCTTCTGTGTGCAGAAGACCTTAAAGTAGGGTATTCATTTTCTCCCCATGAGCTGAACAATATGCGAAGTTGCATCAGCATGGAGCTGATGCATAACAATGAGTCATGTACTTTGATGTACAATGTTTGTGTTTGACCACTCCTAGAATACTGTACGTTTACTTTTAGTGGTGTGCGCATAAAGGATAAATTAAGGTTTTAATCAGTACAGAGACGACTGACACTTCAGATTCGTAGAACTGATTGTATCTTGAATTATAATTCCAGATGTAATAAGCTTGGGCTCGACCTTTTATGGAAGAGAAGACTCAAACTAAATCTAATCTTTTTCTTCAAAATACTTAATAAACTATCCCTTACATTCAGTCAAGTAATTCAATATGCAGACGCTTCTGATTATGACACCTGTGACTGCTTGTCACTAATCAAACAAACCCATTCTAAATCATCTCTATATATGAATTACTTGACCTGTAAATTTTCGAGACTCTGGAATGACCTACCATAATCTATCCATAAGATAAAATCACTCCCATTCTTTGTTCCCTGCTCTTCTAAAAATGCATTAAATGTTTTCGCAACTGTAAATGTATCTTATTCCACAAGTGAGATTATAAGAACTTTAAATGTTTAGTCATTCTTGTTACTGAATTCACTAAGTAAACCCCCTACCTTCTGTTACTATATGTTAACACCGTCCCTTGTATCCCTAACTAATTTGAATAATATCTAACATGAACAGTATATCAATAAGTCACATGACACATACATTATGGTAAACCTGATTGACATATTTTAGTAATTATTGCTTTGTTGTTCCGTGTTCTCTGTTTCCATTCTTACTTTCTCTAGTTGTAGTTATGATACAGGAAATGATCTTAAATACACCGTATATAAATCAACAGGATATCCACTTAAGAATAATTAAAATTTCCCGTCTAGTGCATTTCATTGCTGTAATACACATCATAAATATACTACCTAGACAATTTTTGAACTAGTAAACTTAAAACAATCTATATTCAATGTTACTAATTATATCAGACTGATCATACCTGTAAACTGGAGTGAATTCTGTAATTATTATTATTATTATTATTATTATTATTATTATTAGTAGTAGTAGTAGTATTAGTATTAGTATTATTTGTCATTGAAATTTTATGCGTGTTATTAACTTGAAATGAAAACTACATTTTACGTGATTTTTTTTCTAAAAAATATTCCAATTACGA